GGGGGGTTGCTTGTGCCCCAAAAGGCCACTCCAGGGAGGGAAACCTTGGCTCTGACTGCACCTGCCTTCCTCCAACCTGATGCTGAGTGCTTCTGGGTCATGAAGGATAGCACCCAGGGTATTCACTGGGGTGGGGTGGGGGGCCAAAAAGTCAAGATGGTGGCCACAGCCACAAGATTGAAGCCCTGTCTCTTCAGTTGGCTGCCATTTTGACTTTTTGGACCCCTGGTGCCTCCCCTAGTAGCCTTTCTGCCTTGCCCCATGAGAAGCAGCAGTACTTGGACCTCAGAAGCATCATTTTCAGTGCTCTGAAATAACAGGAAAACTCTTAAGACCTTGAAGGTGGACCACGACCTCTGATGGGGTCTCGCCCCACCTCGAGGACACCCCTGAAGTTGCCTCCTGTGGCCCTGCTTTCTCATACTTCTTACAGTTGGAGGAAAAGGGGCCTTGAGGAGATCTTTGTGCTACCAACGTAAAAGGCCAGAGGGCTATACCACTTCAGACTGTGCCTCATCCAGATAATCGGGTGTCTGCACAGTATGGTCAAAAAGGTCAAGATGGCAGCTGCAACAGTGCAGTCAAAGCAGGAGGAGGGCTTCAATCACACCATTGCAGCGGCCATCTTGACTTTTTTTAACTGATTATTTTTTTTAATTAACGAAATACCAAGTAAAAGCAAAAACAATCAAGCTGTTTTTCCCTTGTCTGCTTGGTTTTTGCTTGCAAGGAGATGGGTTCTTTTGCTTTGTTTCTGCTGACAAGCGTGTAAAGAAAAGGGTGAGGGGTCTCGGCCAGTTGACCCTCAGCTCTGGGGATTGGGCGGAGCGGAGGAGTTGCAGCACGGAGGGCGGCTGGTTGGAAACCCTCGTCTGGAAAAGTCAACCGGCAAGTCCATTATAGGTCTAGTTCTGTATCTTTGGAGCAGCGCAGATGAACTGGAGAGGCAAAAATTCTTCCCACGTTCCAGATGGCCAGTCGCAGGACTTAACTAGGGGGTCAGCTTTTAAAGATCTTTAAAGGCCCTGGTCACCGTCTTACACGTCTTAAGCAATATTAAATCCTCCTTCAGTTATGCTCTCCCATCCCTTCCAGGGGTGTCTGCAGGGGGTGAGGGTCACTCCCGACAAGGCGGTGGGCACAGCATCGCAACCACAATCCTGCCGTGCACCCAGGCCTTGATGCACACCCACACCCCATGCACACCCTGACCCCTTCCTTCCACCGTAAAGCGGAGCGTGTCCATCATCTTGCAGGATGCAATTTTCTCTTGCAGGCGTATCAGAAATGGGTGCGGGAACATGGCCCG